ATAAAGGATAGTGCAAATTTTTTACTTTCTTATATCTTCGAACAACTTGCGTGCGAATAAATGAGAATCATGTGATAAAAAGTAGACAGAATATAGCTCTTTGCACCATTTATTTTCTCTTCTTATTCATTTTATATTTTCAAATAAAAGATTTTCAATGATTTAGATCCTATGTTTATTTTGATCGAAATATCCAGAGGCTTTATAGTGTGGAAAATGTTTCGTAATAAAGTAGCTTTCAGCCTGTGGCTTCGTCCGTGTGGTCTAATATTAATATGTACATAAAAATATTCCTCTTGAATCACTGTATATTCAAGAAACCCGCATTAAATTCTGTTGTATAGTTTAATAGATCTCAACGTACTGACAGCGGAAAGTGACTTTGTTTAATACTATGTATCGATTATCATATAACATTTGAATGAACTTAGCTACAATGATTATATTCTTAAGATTAAGCGGTTTTATAACTACGTAATCATTCAACATGACAATTCCGTGTTACTTATAAGGTACTTTTAATAGAATAAATTATAACGTACCGGCATGATAATAAGATCAATCTTCAATGAGAACTGGTGGTTGAGCACGACCTCAAAATACCTTTGTCTAACAGCTCGTATAAAGTATAATATTAGGCGAGTCATAATGAATCACTTGAGCGTTTGTTCTGTTTAACTTAATTAGATTGTAATATACAAAGTGATTTTGTTCAGACTATAATTTGCATGTAATACAATGAATAGAGTGCTAAAAATTAAAAATGGCTAAATAAATTCTAGAGTTGTTTCAATAATTTTAATTTGCCGAAGTAGCCGTAACTTGAAAATTATTTAGACGTTTCAAGAAAAGTAAATTTAAACAATATAATACTTATACGACTGTGTGTACTTCTAGAAGTCATTAGGTAGCAGTTTAACTTTTGAGATTCAATGAATTTAGATGACCTCCTTAGCCCAGTGGTTTGTGCGCCGGTCTAAAGATGTCGTCATCTTTGAGGTCACGGGTTCAATCCCGGTCGGGTCAATGTAGAAAATTATTTTTTATATATTGTCTTGGTTTGGGTGTTGTGATACCTTCATTACTCCATATTATAAGTATTTTTCAACTAGTATTAGCATTTGAAATATGTTTGATTTTGTGCTACATTTATTTATTATTTTTGTTTTCTGTTTTTCATACACCGTCTATCAATTCTTAATTAATTCAATGTCTCAGAATATTCGTCTAACTACTCGTATAAGGTAAAAAAAAAATTGTTTTTAAAGATAAAGAATTCATTGTTACCTCTCACCTTTATGAACTACCACAGATCTGCATGTGCTTATGTATATAGTTATAGAGCTAGAGTCACAAAGCTAGAGCTTATTTTTCGGTCGAACTTTTCACTGTGAATGACTGACGTCATCACAGCAAAAAAGTACATGTGCCAATAACACGTTTTACCATGTACAAAGATGAAAAGACAAAATGGCATAAAGCAATGACAGACTATACTTTAGGTGTATTAGGAACGTGCCTAGGGGCGAGTAGTTTGGTAAAATGGGGCGCAAAAGATGATGTATGAGTACTTGATCTGTGACCTGTGTCACTCGATTCCTAATTTAAATAATATATAAATCATTTAGATAATGTGTGATCACCGTCAACAGTTATCTTCTAATCGACGTCGAGAGAAGCGTTGTGACATTGTGTGCTTCAAAAAAATTTTTTTATTATCTTTTGAAGTAGGTTTACCTATTTTATTGGTCCTCTATATCGATAGTAATATTATTATAATTTTATTAAATATTCTGATGTAATATTATTATATACCTATAATAATCTACTCATGGGACTTTGTGAGATGGATGAGTTAAGTATAGTGTTGGCGATTGTAGGAATCACAATTTTGTATGAAACAGCTGATTATTTTTTCGTGAATTCGTTGTTGCTCCCTCAGTAAAAGTTGGTCAGTATACTAAAATCATTCACTCCACGAAATCCTGGCTACACCTTATATAGTAATGTCACATCTTATGTATGCTATGATCGCGCTACGCTTTAAGTCGATTTCGAGGCTAATTCTTTATTCAAATTATGATTTATTTATTTTTAATAGAGTTACAGTGATACGATTTTGCGAATAGTATTGCAAGTCAATGAGTTATACCTATTTACAGCTAAATTATATATAGCATGCAAATGGATACAACATTACTAAAATAAATTACGATAAAATTAAAATACACACATACACAACTAAAATAAAATATACATTTAAATATATAATTGATTTAACATGTCACCGAAATTATAATTTAAGAAGTCACCCTAATATTTAAAAATAAACTTGCCAAAGCTTATACTTAAAATTTTTCAATTGAAAAAATCTCTGTTTAATCAGACAGGTTCTTAGCACAATCTTAAATTTAGTAAACGGCAATTGATTTGATTTTTCATGTATTTTATTATATATTCTGATAGCATAACCATTATTATTAAACGTGCATAACATAGCAACTGCTGACATATTATGCGTTGATCTTATAAGACGTAATGATTTTTGTTTATTTCCCTATACTGTATAAAATGGAAATATAATTGGACAATAGCTATTCGTTAATAAACTTAACGAATAAAGTAATTAATTTCTAAGAAGATTATAATTGCATATTGATATATCACTTCCGTGTTTTTGCAGCGATACAATTCTTAAATACAAGTGATTTATTAACATATATAATGTATAAAGTATAACACGATCAAATCATAAAATAAAGAATAAATTATCATTCTTACTGTCAGTTTCACAAACGTCCACTAAGGTTTAATTACGTCTTGAAGCTCTAATGAATGCAAAAATTTGTATGAATAATGTTGCTTTAAACTAATGAAAAGTATAATGGACGTCTGTGCAATTGGCTGTTAATCTAGTGTTTGTATACAAAGTTTCTCTACTATAGCAAGAATTCCCCATAAATCACACATTGAGTAAAATACTCGTATTTAAATCAATAGCACATCTAATTTATAGTGATTATAACAAGTCTCAAAGTAAAATATTATTTATTTTATTTTTAAAATGATTATCAAATCCTTCTTAAGCAAAACAGCAATCTGTGTCTTGTCGAAATTTGATAATAAAATGGTCCGTTTCTGGAATTTTAATCAATTATATACTAACATTCTGTTATAACCACATATTATTCTCAGGCGTAACACTTGATATTGTCATGCATTTAATGTTCTTGATTATTCGGGCTCTATTTACAAAAACGTGTTCAGCATTATTTATAGAACATACTTTATAGATTACATCAAATAAAGCTGGGTATTTCTTTGTTTTTTTATTTTAAAAATTGTCACAAATATTTTTAGATTTAAATTAATTTCCCGTATAAATTTTGTAAAAACTAATAATTGAAACAAATCAATTACCTATTTTAAACTTTGATATTTAATTTAGTTATTTGTTGTTGTTTATTTTTCAATTAAGTATATGTGCTTTTAACATGAGTACCGCTTTCTAATTCTAAAGAAAAGTTCTGTCAAATGATGAATGAGTTGCCGAGAATTGGGGGCACTAGAATGACGGCGAGTATCTGTAGCTGTCGAATTTAATATCATAAGCACCTGTGAGTCCGATTTCCATTGAGGGCCTCTGACAACTTGTGTTCATATAAGTACTTCAAACACACGCAAGTGAAATAAACGCCAACATATGTATTAGACATGCTTGTGAAGATAGCAGTCGTGACTTTGAGTCGTGCTAATCATGAACTTTATTTGCGGAATACGTCATGATTACTGAGTACTAGCCATTACTGGTAACAATTTAACATATCGCCGAAGAAGACATTACACTGCATATGGAAATGAGATGTTCTAAACCTATGTAATAAGTTCTCATATCTAAGCAAAAAGTTCTAAAACCATAAAAAGTCTAGTTTAAGTTATGTAGATTCTGCTCGGAGTTTTTTGAGTGAGATCGTACGGTAATGGCTTCTACGTGAGTCAAAAGATTCATGAGATAGTCAAATAGGCTCAAACTAATAAAGTTATTTGAAAAAATTTGAGCATCAACATGTTTGTAAAATAATGTTTTTTTTTTTGCGTAACGTTGTATAAGAATTTTAAAATATGTAATAAGCTGACTAGTTTTTTTTTTATTCTGCTTGACCGAGCAAGTAACTGCAAGAGCTATATACGTATTGAGCTCACAAATAAACTGCATTCGTGGCGTTAAAAAAGGTACTAGTTCTAAAAACGAAAGACAAGCTCAGAGACATGTGTCCCGACTAGTTAAATGAATTTTCTGTTAAATGAATTTAGTAATGAACACGAGATCCCTCACGAAGTTTACATTACGCTTTTAAAACAAACTGTCATGTAACGCTTAATAAGGAACTAAACACGAATTGTTTTTTACAATTACATTTGTTCATTGATATAAAAGACGCCAGTCATGCTGCTATAAACATTAATTATGAACCAATAGGGCTATTAAAACACCGATAAAAGGGCATATTTTTTTGAAATAAAGCTATTTTGATTTTTAGCGTACAAGTTCCTATTTGAAAATGTAACTGTACCGAGGTTAATTCCGAATTATTTCTGCGTTACGTTATTATTTCTGCGAATTACCTTGTGGATTTAAAGGTCGGCATTTGTAAATTGATTATGTATACATAGCCACACGAACCTGAAGTGTGCTTGAATTCTTGGGAATTTACAATTACGACACGATTTTTCTTGCTACTTTTTAGTGTGTTTTTTCTTGTCTTTAAATACGCGTCGCGTTCAAATCTTCATTGAATACAATTGAATGCGCTTTTGTAATTTAACTCTCCATCAGATTTGTTCAAGTCATAGAAAATTATATTAGATATAAATATTTAACTAACTTACTTTATAATTACGAAAGTTTGATAAGTTTGTTAGAAACTTTTTTGTTTTACTTTAGATGCAGAACAAGTACGTTCCTCAATGCCCGGAATAAATAAAAAAAAATTACTTACTTTTCCAAGCGATCCCCAAGTTTGTCAGAGTGATGGCTTTCCTTGGGCTTGGAGAGGTCAGAGTCGTACAGGTCTCTTTTGAAGCCCCGCCAGAAAGTGGGCATCATCCAGACGAACCATGTTCGGGACAAGAAATTAGCTCTTATGTAATTATTAGTCTTCTTTTCGCGCTGCTTCGGCGGTGTCTTTTTCAGGTCGCTCGGGTCTTTGTTGCCACTAACCATTTTTATAGTTCTGATTTTTAAATAATTAAATAATAAAAAAATTGAGCGTTACGACTCGATCCAAATTTCTATCAATAATTTAATTGTTAATGAACAACGACATTTTAAATGCAAACTCGTAAACGCAGCAGTGCTGCCGGGTGGTGACCGGGGCGCACGCGCGGGGCTTTGCAGAGGTGCGTACGACGCGCTAATCTTCCGCCTACTGATGGAGCGCGTGCTACTATTTACAGTATAAACGTAATAGCACATAGCACTCTGCTGGTAGCTTATCTTGTCAGCTACTCTGCCGCCCTCACGCCCCTCGTAGCCTTCTTAATTATAATATTGTGCTTCGCGGAAGCTCTGCGACGATATATTTGTATATTAGAAATGCAGAGGAGATATGGTTTTAAAAAGATATCGTTTAAAGACAGGTTTGGCAGCCTCTTTTGATGACTTTTTTTTTTATTGAATTTACGACTTTTATTTTATATTTATTAATATTACAGTCCACTGCTCTTGCTGTCATACAGATATTATTTGGTTTAAGAACAATTATTAATAGCTTAGAATTCATAATAAATTAGATTAGATAGAAAATCATGTCATAGGTGAAAATATTTGTGGGACAAAATTATTATTTACTATTTGCGTCGTATCGTAATGACGCGTGGTATCTTGTATACTTTAAGATTCTATCTTGAATTTTGATTTTCGATACAGGGTGTGGCAGAAGTAAATAAGTACTCGGTTTAAATTTTTTATATTTTGAACAACGTTTACATTACATTTATTTAATTATTATGAAAATACATTTGACTTATTTATTTATTTACAATTGGCTACCGTAATTTACAGTTCCAAATTTGGGAGTTTTGTCTGAGAAGAACTGGCGAAACAAACTCCGACAAGAAAAGTGAATTGCTCTCTTTGGTTTAATATTTACAGAATGGTTATGCAATGTGTGATCTGGATTGAGAGTTTATTTGACAAATTACTGGATTCCAAACCGGTGGTAAATGCCAACCTTCATCTTCATTAAAATTCGGATGTCTTTTTAATTCAATAGCCTCGCATATCATTCTAGGGATGAATTTTTGTTCAGGCGCAAGTAATTTTGGGTTCTCAAATCTTATCTAATGCTTGGATCCTCCTAACACATGTTCACATACTGCAGATTTATTTTCGCGCCTATGCTTAACGTCAGCTGCATGTTCCCTAATGCGAGTTCTTATGCTCCTCTTTGTCTGTCCGATATATGAGAGCCCACCTGTGGAGCCCACAGTCGCATTCTAGTTTGTATATACCTGCAACTTGAAAGGGGATATTACACTCGACAGGTCTTAAGAACTGGTTGATCTTCTTCGGTGGCTAAAATAAGTATTGATGGAAGCTCGCTTCAAAATCATCATGTCTGTGACACCTTTCAAGTACAGGAGGTTGACGCTCGACTGTGGTAGGGTTGACCCGTTATTTGTGACTGATGCGTGGTACATGCAGTTTGTTATCCTACAGTACTTGCTTGGCATGCTAAAGCTCAGCTGACAGGTGTTGATTTGTGTTCTTTGAAATAAAATTCCTTAGCTGTTTAGGATGGTGGTGTGAGTCACCATTGAGGTAAATTTCAAGACATTTCAATTATTATTTTTCCAAAACAACTTAATTCTGTTCATTGTAATCTTAATTCAGCAACCAAAATGGGGATACTTCCATAAGAGCCCATCTACCAGATGGCGTAGAGTAGCGCCCTTGTGCTACACACTGTCTGCACCAAGCTAGAGATCTTTATCTTCAGAGCGGTAGCTCTAGCTCTGATCGCAAGGCATCACTAATTTTACTACTTTAACATATCTTTAGGTGGATAAATTTGGATCGAATGATTTGAATTGGTCTCACTGTTATCAAATCTATAATCCTGAATCATTAGTTCATGATTAATAAAGAGCATGTTAGAGTAGGAAAATGAAACTAAATATCGCATTAATATATAGATAAGCTATCGTATCCTTTGGCTTGAGAGTTAGGTGGTTGCACTACTGATTACCACCAATGCTGCGTCTGAGCTGTCGTCAGCCTACTCCCACATCAGCCTCTGCCCATGTCACAGCGACATGACGGCTCTCGATCTACTATGACTTTGACTCTATATTTGCAAAACTATATTACAAAAATATACAATAAATGGGACAATGATACTTCATTTATTTCTATGTTGAGAAATTATTGTTACAGGTGCTTAAGTAGACGTGAACAATATTATTGAGTCTGTCTAGGAGTTGATGTTGAGTTGTTTTTGTTGGCCTTCAAAACTGCGTTATACTGGCTCTAATAAAAGAAAGTATAGTTTATTGTTTGTACAACTGTTTCCATGTTTACTATCTGAAGGTTTTGTCTTTCTTTATCACACGATACCCCATTCGAAAACTTTTAAACACAATTTAACGTAATTCAAAATAAAATAAAATTAAACAGTTTTTATGGAAGATTCGTCAGTATTATAACAGATACCGGTGGCATTATGTTATCACATTAATTGGAAACTTCGTTAATGTGAACTGCAGTTCTGTAAAATATTTAGCTTCGAATCCAACGTCGAGAACCAGCGCTGTCACAGCGAAAAGGTTCAAGCAAACGAACCGACAAAGGCTTTTTTCATTGAACCTGAAAATGCTGTTAAAGTAACGACACAAACATGTTTACAGGCCTTTCTATGTTTGAAATCAATTATTGAAGATAAAAAATGCTATTAAAATCTGTTCTCTTTCTCGATTTTACGAATGCAATATTTCACTAGATACCCTTGAACTGTATTCCAATACTTTTTTTTTATTATAAATATATTCGTGTTTGTAAGTTGAGGATAATCTCATTCAAAATAGTGTCTACATTTTTGTGTCAATGTTAAATTATTTGCATATATATAAGTGTATAGAAAGTTCTATATAAAAGTAATGACATACATAAGAACTTGGAAAATAGGTATTATTTACCGCTCAAGTTTAAATTGGTAATATAATTATTTCATCATATAAAACTCTAAACTAGCGTAAAATTTTTGTAGGATCGGCCTAGGAAATTAAGGAGAATTCAAAGTATCAGTTAACAATACAAGCAATGCAATACGGTTCTTCTATTTTGTAGCGGAAGCTTTTACAATAATACTTGTTTGCACTATTGACTTAATTTAGCTGGTGTATATTCACCGGGCTGAGATAACAGAAAAGAACGTGATTTTTATTTGTATTTATTTATCTTTATATTATAACATATAAAAAAACGGTGGACCATTCTTTTTTGAGAAAATTGTGCGATTGGCAATCAAAATTTCTGGTTTGCAGAGAGGCTTACATAATCCTTACTTAATCTTAAATGAAGTAATTTATGATACAAATATATATGTTCACGCCAGATTCTTGCGGTGCAGACAGATACAACTGAATACAACCGAGTGTCTTCTCATAAATCCTTTAATTCCTTGACGTTCGTCGTCTTTATGTAATTGCCTAGATTTTATGGCTTCTGGGAATTTTAAGGAAATTTAACATATTGTGATAGTCTGACATGCTGCTGGGTTAACATAAATTTACTTATTGTTCCGTCTTCTTTTAGCATTCTTTTCACATCTTTACTTACGTATCTCCTTAATAATCTAGTTGAAATATAATAAACTATACAAATCCAATCCAAATTAAAAAATAAGTTCTAAACTAAAACCCGACTACAGCTAAATCACATTAAAAAGTTTTGAACAAGAAAGTTATTTTATATATATATTTTATTAGTCGGGTTTTAGTTATTGAACTTAAATTTTATTTTATTAATTTTCGGGTGCTAGGTGCTAAAGCTATTCATATATATATTTGAATAGTTTATTACTTTATTCTTTTTAGAGGGCACTGTTGCAAATTTAATGTAACGTCACATAGCCAGCACGCGGACAACTAAACCAAAATCATAAACTTCATTGTTGCTTCGCCGTAATCGGGTAAAAATGATATATTCAAGTTCTAAATTTTTACATAAAAAATTTGAAAATGCGTGTGTGGCTTAACGAATGTATTATTGCAATAGATGTTCCGACGACATGATAACACGTGATTCTTTTGATTTGTTATTGTTGTGTGCAATGGACGTGGTGTCATCAGTTTGGGCATTACAATGCGCCGGACACAATGTCACCAATACTGCTCCATTGACGCACCGGTCACCACGGCCGATTGCTTTGTTATACATCACCGTGCCGCGCCGTTCGCCGGCTCGAACGTCACTATCTAACTTAGCTAATAAAATAACAAACAAATTTTTAAAGCTAATGTTTACTATCAACCTTCGTTTCGAAATTCCCAAACAGGTAGGACTTAAATATCGACAGGTTGCGATATTTTCATATTTAACTAAACACATATTTGAATGTTATACAGTTTCGCTATGTGGAAGTATTAAAAAAATAGTGTTATACATTTAATTGACAGTATTACATGATGACAGGCCGGTAAAGAATCAGTTACTTTACTTCAAGATGAAGGTAGAAAAAGAGGCGAACAAAAAAAAATTAATACATAAAATATAAACCGAATAACTAATAACTTATTAATTATTTAATTGTGTACACAAAAAGTTAAACATTCCCTGTATTATTTCTTTTAGAGTTGTATATGGCTCATGTTTAAAGGCAAACCTGTCAACATTTTTGTATCCGCTTTAGATTTGACTTAATCCAGGAAAATATATACTTATCTCAGGTGTAGTTATCCATTGTATTAAACTTTTTTATTAAGGGTCCATTGTTAGATTCGCAGATTTATTTACTGGCCCATAGTCTTTCCATATCATAACAATAAACCCATGTCGCAGATGTTTCATTGCCTGTTTCGATATTTTTAAAATGCGGGAACACTTAGAATATTACAATTAGGTAAAATCCGAGATATATTTCATTCTTTAGCTATCTGAGAATTGTGAGTTTCTAGTACAACCTATTAATGTTATATATATTTCAACCAGACTTTTTTTCAACT